TTTAAATCTCCAATGGATTACCAGCGTCTTGGAATGAGACGGCTACCGATCCTCTTAAGTTAATTGGTTTGAGGCCCTGATACAGTTAATAGGTGAATTATGTCTAGGTGCAGACAAACTTAATGCGAGATAACACAAAGTAAATTCATCAAGCATAGAAGGAAAAAATATCAAAAAATTTAGCAGGACCCGAGGTTAACAATAGGAACCTAGGGACCCGAATCTGTTAGAAGGTTCGCTTCTCAAACTCCTCCCTTCGATGCAAAAGTAACTGTTCGGCAAATTATACCGAATTGCTCCGGTCGCTGCACCTTTTGTAGAAGACCAATTTCTAAGGCTTACTGAAATGCATCCTACTAACAGTTGTACAGTAGAAGTAGTCCATGCAGTCACCAAACCCCATGGCACAGCCATCCTACAGGTACGCTCCGAAAGGCTAAGACCTGCTATTTTCAACCAACACGTCCGACCTCAAGTCAAAGTCAACGTTGAAAACGTCTCCATCAAAGGAAGATGATCGAGCAAAATGCCACCATTAAAACACCACAACTTTAAAAAAAGAGAAAAATTAAAAATAGTCTGGAAAGGGTTTGTCAACTGTACAGGTATATCTAACTTCAGAGTAGAGCAAAATCTACGATCTCAGGAAGGGTTTATTCTTTGCTATGAATTTGTCCAACTGGTCCCAAACGCTTTGAAAGTTGACTTTGTCCAAGTGGCGCCGTCTATCCAAATTGATTACATGCACATTCCACTTGGCTACGTTCGGATCCAGCGGCATGTTCGCATACTTTATGTGAAACCCTTTGACTGAAATGAGAAAGTGCATTGAAAAGACATGTAGTAGTACCGCAAATTTAGAAATACAACAACCAGCCAAAGAACTTAGCCCAATGAATTTAGTGCAAAAAACTCACTAAAGGTACTCGGAGGAAGAACTAACGCTGCGTCAGAAAATGCAAATGGAAGAACATAGAACACGACAGCATGATAAGAGCAAATCATACCAACAGAAAATATCACTGCTGGATCTCCACCAAGAGGCCAACCCTTGAACTGCCAAGCCTGACCCTGGACAAAGACAGCCACGACTCGATTCCATTCATCTGGTTGCAGTCGATTTGGCTGATCAATAACACGATAGGGAACCGTTCGACCATCGGGCTTACGACGATGTATTAAAAGTTCGTTATCACGTCTGCAGCCCTGACTTCGTTTCTCCTCGGTAGAGACAAATTGGAGATCCTAGAGCACCCCACAGGGAATGTGATAAAGTAAACAGCTTGAAATGTTCCTAAGTACAGTAGATCAGTATGAAGAACTACCTGAAGAATATCAGTGGCGTTGAGCATTGTAATCAGGCTTGTCGGTGCTGCTGGAATGATGATGATAGGAACTCGAGACGCGCGGGGTTTCGACCGGGAAACCATAGAGCGGGAGCTACGATCTAAAATATCCAAAATAATCATCAAGTGAGAAAGCACGACAAGCTCTGCACCAAAAAGCCACTAAATTATGATTTGTCGAATTTCTGCACTAAGAAGCAGAAGATAAATAACCAAACACCTAAATTAACAAAATCTACAGTAGCTTAATTTACATGGATCGGGCGTGAGGCCAGCAGCAAGGGGCGTGCCGAGCCCCAGACCACGTGGATCTCGAGGCGTGCGAGCACCGCGAGGAGTCTCGTGACCGGGCGTTGTCGGAGGTGCAACTGCAACACCGGAGCCCTCGAAGGTAGGACCTGGCACTGACAGAGCACCGCCATTTGACTTCGATACTCCGACGTTGACACCGCTTCCTACCATTGAAGTGAGCGCTTTGCCATGATAGGAGCTCATTGTATCAATTCTAAAGCCCGCCGTATCCTCACGACCTGCAGCAAAGCGCTCCTGATCATACCGAGAGTACTGCAAGGCGGGGGGCTGGCTCTGTTGCCGCTGGTGAGCCACAGGAGCTACTAGGGGTGTCTTATAAAAGTTGTTCATGGTTCCAACTACGCTGCCGTAAGTGTCACGGCGATCCGGTGCCAAATGAGCGTTTTCTTTTAGCTAAATGTACACAATTATGCATGCGTTCAATATTGCTCTATTTACCATGACGTTCCGCAAAATCCCTAGAACGATATTTTCATAGAAGGTCTTTCCTTGACTTTGAAGAATATTTCCCCGTGTTCGCCATCGACGCTCACGTGATGAGATCACTCGAACGGTATCCATGTCCGAAGAAAGAAAAGCAGCACGCTTAGGGTCAGCGGAACGAGCAAGAGCAAGCTGAGCATCGTCAACAGAAACCACAAACTGAGAATTTGGACCTTGATAAGCTGCATCAGCAGATCTTGAGGTAAAGGAAGAGATACCAGAAGTCATCAGCAGTGGTCCGTCGCCGGTCACAACGGCGGTGGGATCCAAGGTATCTGGACTGCCGATGTGATTCACAATTGTCTCCGGCTTTGCCACCTGCTGATTTGCCCGGAATTTCGCGCGAAGAGACTATAAAAAGTAGTGTTAGTAACTGCGACACCGGAGCCAAAACATGCGTGCAAACAGAACCAGCATCCACTAAGAGCCCTACCTGAATTTTATCCAGTGATATAGCTGAAGGAAGGGCGCTTCCTTCTGACTGCTCCAAAATGGAACCGCTTTTTAATCTAGCAGGATCATCATGCTGTGGGTCGAGAGATTTAGCTTCTTCTGGCTCGTAGGAGGATAGTCGCGGCCTTTTACTATCAGCAGATACGTCTGAATCTAGAATTAATAGAATGAAGCGCCTGTCAGAAAGCTACAGACAAACTAACCGAGGCTTTGTACATCCAAGGTCCCCTTAGAGACAGGCCTACGAATAGTTATATCAACAGGAACTGTCCTATCAATGTTTGCAGCGGTGGCAGCATCTCCATTTAGATAATTCAGCAGTTCGCGCCGATCTGGTAGGCGTACTACTGGTATGCCTGCTGCCTACAAAGAAGTCATGTGAGGGCGAACTTACCGCAGCCTGCCTAACATATTTTGAGTGAGGAAGATTAACATTTTTCAAGAGATACACGATACAATTCAGTGTATAGTAATCCTTCGGGGCACCGTCTTTACCAGTGCTGCCAAAAGTTTGCTACGAAAGAGAACCTACCCCCACATAACGTAATTTGTCTTTGCAGATTTAGGCCAAGCAAATTCTCCAAATACAATTTCATCGTTGGTCTCCACAATTTCTTTATTACCAATGTGGTACTCACGCAAAAGCCCGAGAACATCCGCCATATTCAGCCA